CCATTATATTTTCTAAATATGGTTTTTTTAAACATATAACCCAATAAATGACAAAAAGAAAAGTGTTAGAATCGAACCTGATGCGTAGGAATGAAGCACGAAAATTTTCAACCGGATTCGTGCACGCGCCTAGAAGATATGCAGGAACAAACAGAACGACACTACTCAAATTATTATATAGATAGTGTTATGTTAGAGTATGTTCATCGGATTTTATGATGAGATAATGGAATAGTGAGATTGATGAATCTATTCCAGGATAAATCTATGTGATTTGATGGATCAATTGCAATTATAAAATATTAATATGAAATGAACGTACAATTTTACTATATAATTATTATTTTTTTTAATTTGAATAGTTACATTTCATGAGTATTATTACTGTTAAAATATCGCAAAATTGTAGTTGTGTACGTGAAATGCACGTGTGTGCATTGGTAGTGTCTACACGTGTAACTACGTAGGTTTGGTAGAGGCCTGCAGACATTGCCATTGCGCTGTATTACAGGTGTGAGGGGAGCTGGATGCAATCACATAATACGGTGTCGCATTCCTACATATACTGTAATTCAGTATATTTAGTATATGTGTGTGAATTAAGTTTATTCCTAGTGTTTATTGTATGTCCTTCGGACTTTATAATTACGTTTGTTTACTATTTTAGTGTTTGCGTATGGGTTATTTTTTTCAACCGTTTACATCTTAAGCTAGGACTCTCATTTTGTTTCCTACGTCTCTTTGTCGTGTACTATTTTACATAATATGGATTTGCAAATTGTCGCATAATTGCTGTCATTACTATGTGAAAACGATACATAGTGGTGACATATATTAATTGTCATTTGATGTCATGTTATAATAACGCGTGATTAAGTTTTTAATTACGTCTTCGCGTAACAGTTTGATCTTTTATTTTTAGATTTATCAATTAATTCATACTATAGGGCATTGAATATAATTTGTGTGAAAATTTATGTTTCTCATTATATTTACTGCTAATCGCTAAGTTGTCTTACTACTGCTTCATGATCCAAAAAGACTATTTTCACACCTTGTGATACGTTACATATATCATTATTTATGTACTCGTCGTTATTTGCGACATGAACCCGGAGTTCCATCGTGGAGCGGGGCTTATTCTCACGCGACGCTTATAACACAAGCAAACAACACTCTTGTTGCTTAGGAACTACTTGATCGATGCTTACAGATAACGTGGCAGTCTGTTAATCTAAATTAGCTGCTTCATGACGAATTTGCCCTAAAATAAAAAATCATACGGTTAAATAGCATTTTGGTATAAATATATTTGTGCTTTTGTCATTAGCTCTCGGTCTGTAACGTGCAAAATAAATCGGCAAAGTCGCAACTTTTTGCAGCACAATCGCGCGGTGGCATCTCAGCGGTCAAATAATATTTCGAAGCGCATAGTTTTTTTATTGTGAATTCGTGCTCATAGAAACTTATCGGTACATATTATTATTTATGCACTTTCTATTATAATATCAAGAGTGAATAATAATAGGAGTAAAATATAATCTAGGTTATTGTGTCTCCTGTAGCTACAGTTTTGTCACTATTAATGCATGAAAATAAACCAATAGAAGTCAGTGTGAAAAACGAATAATTGTAAGTAGATTTTAATATTTTGATTTATTTGTTAATTATAGTAGCAAATTACATCACGAAATTTACGTATATCACACGATCTCTGCCTGCTTCCTAACATCTTGTGCTCTAACATGATTCAGCAAGTCACAGTCGACACACACTGCTAACAGATCACGAATGTTTTACTATAAATAATATCGTCATTTAAATAACACTTACAGATACGCACGCTTGCAGGCGGACGCACGCACACGCATGTTCAACAGTCAATGAACCGTGCTTATGAAATATTCACGAACTCAAATTTTGAATTTCTGCTGACAGCGCTCTGGTGCTGTCATGATCAAGCCACTCACATGCACGACGTCCGCACCACGCACGCACACGAACGCACGTCCTTGTACGCACGCCACAGCAGCGCGCCGCGTCGTTCAGTGCGCATCTCTCGTCATACCCATGAAGCATGAAAAATCAAATGGCGACATTAAAGTTGGTTCTATATACACAGCATCAGGCAACCACTGCAGGCCAGGTCTTCTATGCTCACGGGAAGATGCACTTGTTGTCTGCACATGCAGCACTAGAGGGACGACACTATTCATAGGGTGTGGGTGCACAGTACAGTCGTTGTCATGGCTACAAACACGCATTAGAAGCTTTAAATTATGACCTAACAACGACCTTATGAGCTAAAACCTTAGCAACCTTATGACACTGAAAATTGCAACCGCCTAGCCTTTTTCTTAGTATTTGTGTCATATAATAACCAACGAGTCGAAATTTAAACCAGACATTATCAGCAGAAGCACATCTAAGTTTGAAATTCATTAAAATCGCAAAGGTCTTCCCCGTGTGTACTGTGTTGAGCGTCTGTGTGTGTGCGTGGTTGTGGTGTTGTGTGTGTGTGTGCTCGTCTGCTGTGTCGTGCTGTGTCCGTTTGTGTTCATGGGCGTAGTGTGTGTGCGCGTGTGTGTGTGTGCGCGCGTGTGTGTGTGTGCGCGCGTGTGTATGTGCGCGTGTGTGTGTGTGTGCGCGCACATGTAAGCGTGTCACACATTGTCGCTTCAACGTTACATGTGTGTTTGTGAGTGCGCGCGCGCTCACGAATATTCTCAATTTGCACAGAGTTAACTTACCAATGCTATATCCGATACGATAATTGTGTCACATATCACGCAATAAAAATACTGAAAATAGTCAGTAAAAGTAAACATTATAATGTATGAACGACCTAGAATAAACGCTAGGAATAATCTGAATTTACACATATATACTGAATTACAGTATATGTACGAATGCGTCACAGTTATCTTAGTTTTATTTAGTTGTTTTTTAATTTGATTTATCCTGAAATAGATTTAGTTTATCAATTTTATCATTATCCTATTATCTTACCATAAAATCCGATTAACACACTCCAAACTAATCATACTCTAACATTACAATGTCTATATTATTATATTCAACTACATCGTGACGTCCCGGGTTCCAGCAGATATGTCGGTAACTATCGCAAGCTCATATACACACAAACACGCACACAAACAAGCAAACAAACAAACACAGCAATCCACCAGATGGTGGTAAACTATTAGGAATCATATTGACGTGATACATGACAATCGTGTCACATGACAATATGTATCATCGTGCACAATTATCAAGTTGAATGTTAATTGCAAATGTATACAGATCGGATAAAGTTTACACCAGACTCTATTTATGGGTGATAGTATTTTCCTCCTGTGGGAATCGTGTAAACGCTTGTATTGCCCATACCGGAGATAAGCACGCAGTTGTTAACGCTTGCTGGAATCCAGACGAATCCAAAGCAAGATTGCGACTCAAGGCAGTGAACTCCGCACAGTAACACCGAGGCGACACCTACTGCCGGGCTTGCTGTTACATTACGTGTTATGTTGTTTCCTGCGGACACGCGGCTGTCGTGGAATAGCAATTCGCTGAAGGCATCATCTATTGAGTCAAAAAACAAACAATAATAATCTTTGATAAGTTTAAGTCTTCTACTAAAACTCCGATAATCGAGTCTTCGTCAGGTAGATTAATGGACTGCATATAACGTGGCAATGACATTTTCTCAATCTATAATATAGTACAGTAGATTAGAAAAAAATCGTTCAAAATGTAACACGTTTCAGTGTATTTCATATTGCGATTCGTAACGTTGAAAAACGGTAGGCCAGTTATCGCCCAAATTGTGCCTATATAACATTCCGTGCTGGTAAATTATGCAAATACTATGCCATGTTTCATTCACATTAGTTGGTAAAAATCAGCATATAACACACGTGAACAAATCGCGTGGATTTACGTGTGTACGTCCGTCTGTATACGTGCAGGTGCGCGCGTACATTTACGCAGGTGTGCGTGCGTGCGCGTGCGTCCGTTTGTGCACGTGTGTGCGCGTGTGCGTATATGTTCATGAGTTCGTACGTGAATTCGCGTGTGTGTTAGTTAAATGAAGAGATATAATAAACATTCGTGATCTGTTATCGGTGAGTGTCGACTGCGAATTGTAGAAACATGTTAGACGGCTAGATGTAAGGAAGCAGGCAGGGATCTTGTGATATACGTAACATTCGTGATGTAATTTGCCACTAGTGACGTGTAATGAGTAAAGAAAATCACTTGCATTTACACGTTTTTCACACTAACTTCTATCGGTTTATTGTCACGACATAGTATTGATACAACTTTATAAATGAGAATCACTGTATAATACGATTTGCAACTTTCTCCAACTGCAGATGGCACCAGTTAACGTCATGTATGCGTAACAAGAAGCCATTAATTTAGATTAACAGACTGCCAGGTAATTTGTACGCATCGATCAAGTGGTTGCCAAGCTACCAGTGTTGTTTGCTTGCGTTGTAAGAGTCACGTGATAATAAGCCCTGCTCCACGATAGAACTCAGCATGCAGGGTTCAAGTCACAAGCTACGAAGATTTCATAAATAATTTGATAATGTAAAATATCACACGATTTACAGACATTATTAAAAGTGGACCTAACATTCGTAGGTCAACTAAGTAATTAACCGTAAATATTATGAAAATTCCAAGTCTTCACACAGTTCACGAAGTAATACTATATCCTACGCGATAATATATATATATATATATATGCGTTTATGTGCATGTATATGCGCGTGTGTGTGTGTACGTGTTTACGTGTGTGCGCGCGCGTTTGCGTGTGTGCATGTGTGCGTGCGCCTATGTGTGCGTGCGTATGTGCGCGCGCGTATGTGCGCGCGTGTGTGTGGGTGTGTGTGTGTGTGTGCGTGCGTGCGTGCGTGTGTGCGTGCGTGTGT